AAAAAAAAAAAAAAAAAAAAAAAAAGTTTAAACCAAAGTTTAAGAACCACTGTTTTACATAATTTGTGTTACTGAAAAAACAAAGTTAAAGAATAACCTTAAGGGTAAAATGATCTCTCGTCTAAAGAAAGGGGCAGTTTTAAAAATACAGCATCTAGCACAGTATACTATATACACCAGATGCTAAATATTTCTTAATATTTGAGGAGGATAATGCAGGACAGTATTGCTAGAAAGTGTGTTCAAGACTTCTTGATTCTTATTTCAACAGGATCCCCCAAGAAAACCTGGACAAGCATCCTAATTTCTCCCTGGAATCGAGGACAATGTTACATGAATAGGATGTTACCATCTGTGTAAAAATGGGGGGTGGGTCACACACACACACACACACACACACACACACACACACAATATTTCTTATATATACAAGATAATATTGGTTATCTTTAAGTGGGGAGCAGAAATGAGAAGATATTTTACTGAGTACTTTTAATACCTTTTGAATTTTAAATCTTGTGAATGCAGTATTACCTACCTATTCCTCTCCCCAGCACCCCCCAAAAGGAATTACATTCAGTGCATGTAGTAATCCCTTTTCTTGATTACCAAAAAAAAGAAAAAAGGGAAGGGAAAAGAACAGTGTGTTAAAAGCAGGCCCATGGGCACCTGGGTGGCTCCAGTTGGTTAAGCGTCCAACTTGGGCTCAGGTCATGATCTCACAGTTCGTGAGTTTGAGCCCTGTGTTGGACTCTGTGCTGACAGCTTGGAGCCTGGAGCCTGCTTCGGATTCTGTGTCTCCCTCTTTCTCTGCCCCTCCCCTGCTTGCACACTCTTTCAATAAATAAACAAATGTTAAAAAACAAAAAAGCAGGCCCAATGCCTACAGCCCTGAGGACACTGCACGGTACTTCCCCGTCGTGACTCTCTCGCCCACACTGTGAACAGCCATTGGCCCAGGTGTACCTCATTCACAGCCACAGGCCGGCACCCAACACAGTGCCAGGCATGTCAGACCTCAGTAAATATCGGTTGGTGTCAAAAGTAGCTGGAAGATACTAATGTACATTTCCCTTTCCTACCTTCCTCCTTCTACACCTCCTAAATTAGTGGTATTTTCAAAAGGGTGATTTTCAACTTGGTTTGGCTGCTACCAAATGCAACTGCCAGGTCCCTCCTTTAACAATTATACCACATATTAGGATATAAGGGTGACTTGGCTGAAACACCAGTCATCTTTTTTAGTATTCAATATTTAAGGCTCTTCAGAAGCTTGTAGAGGACTTTAATTAGCCATATTTTTAGATTAACTTAAAATAGCTAAGAGGAAAAGCCCTGTTTGGTCACGTAATGGCAGGGAGAGCTGTGCACTTAAGAGCTGCTCTCTCGGGATGGTGCCTCCCTGGCTGGCACTGTCCTATCATTAAGTAAAGCCTGATGCATAAATCCAGACATCTGTGCACTGAATCCTTACTCAAATGTGCCTTTGTATGATCTTCTGACCAATTACAAGAGCCATCCTTCAGGGCCTGTTGCATTTTTCTCCCAGCTCCCCACAGCTGACCTGGTCAGGGCAATCGTAAGGTCCCAGGGCTCATACTTACTTGAGGATGTCTTTTAACAACAGGTTGGGTCTTCTCATCTTGTTTTGAGCTCGGGTGTACCATTGCAGAGAGGGTCTTGAGCAATCACTTCTCAGTTTCACACAGTTATACTCACTGGGCATTGCTGTGAAGAGAGAAGCAGCCAGGAGGGGGGAAAAGAGGGAGAGTCAGGCTATTGTGTTTACAAAGACCTTTAGGGGGTACATCTATAGCATGGAATACTACTCAGCAATAAAAAAGAATGAATTAATGATACAGCCAACAACTTGAATGAATCTAGAGGTAACTATGCTGAGCTAATACTAAAAGTTTACACATTATATGATTCCAGGTATATAACATTCTTGAAAGGTCACAATTACAGAAACGAAGAACAGATTGGTAGTTGTCAGGAGTTATGGAAAGGGGTAGTGGGTGTGGTTGGATCCTTGTGTTGATGTAAATATTCTGTGTCTTGACTATATCCCTATCAATATCATAGCTGTGATATTATACTATGGTTTTGCGAGAGGCTACTGGTGGGGGAAACTGGGTAAGCGGTACATGGGATCTCTCTGTATTATTTTTTTACAACTGCACACGAATCTACAATTATCCCCAAATAAAAAGTCTAATTAGTTTTTAAAGAGCCTTTACCTTTTAAAGGTGCATACAGAACTATTTACAGATGAAACAGGAAAAATGAGATCTGCTTCAAAAAAATCAGGAAGGGGATAGGCATGGAGGTGGGGGATAGATGAGGCAACTCTAGCTTTAAACTGATTAAGTATTGGGGCGTGTGGATGGCTCAATCAGTTGAGAACCGACTCTTGATTTTGGCTCAAGTCACAATTCCAGGGTCATGAGATTGAGCCCTGCTTTGGGGTTAAGCAGGTGTGGAGCCTGCTTAAGATTCTCTCTCCCTCCCTCCCTATCTCTCGCTCTCGCTCTCCCTCTCCCTCTCTCGCTCACTCGTCACACTCTCTTTCTCCCTCAAAAAAAATTTTTTTTAGTTAATTAATTAAATGGATTAAGTGTCAAAGCTGGGTACTAGACACATGGGGCTCATTAAACCTTTCTCA